AAACGACTCTCACAAAAAAATAGTTGCTAAAATCGCACAATGTTAGCAAATGTAGCAAGGGTTGTCAAAACATGAGCATTGAACATGCGCTGCATRATAAGTGACTCAAAAATTGTGAGGAAACTGAGTGCCTGAAGGGTTGGTACCTTAACTGAGTAATTGTATCGCAAGTTGCAGCCAAAAGCAGTGAGAGTTCTTCTTCGTACAACGCAACTTGCAACGACCATGCACCACGACAACTGATCAAGACAACAACAACAACTTAATTAAAACTGCTAGTCATCCTCTGGTGTACATTGTATGATTTTCCAACAACTGAGCTTCTAATTGTTTCGGAACATTATAGTGAGACAAGTTCCTGAGAAAAATATATACAGTTGTACCAGCACCTTCAGACATTTTGATCCTTTAAGTCGTGGCTATGCAATAAGTTGATAGTTTACTGCTATATTATTGTGCTACATTAATTTACCATATAGAAACTGCAACATYGGAAGAAAAGAATGAATTTCTTCTTGAGATCGAGTTTATGAAGAATGTTGGTCACCACAGCAACATCATCTGCATGCTTGCTTGCTGCACCGAGGATAAAGATAAAGTGTTATTAGTGGTTGAATATGCAGACAAAGGCGATTTACTGAACTTCTTAAGGGACRAAAGGAAAAAGGTGATTTCCGAAAATGACGTTTGAATAAAGGTTCACTCATGGAAAGTGTCGAGATTGATATTGTATCAAACATTGTATACTTTGATTTAGCTCGCAAAACATCCATWAATTTATGTACGATTGGCAAGAATRTTGTGCTACTTATAATGGTATTATCTGATAGTCGTGCTTGCTTATTTCTTATGACTTATATTAACTGTTTTAGATGTCTACTGCAAAACCCCTATACTACAACACCGACGAAATAATTAAAGATGACACATCCACTCAAGAGAACCGAGATGAAACGTTTAGCACTGATAGTTTATTGAAAGAGTTTTTGTCATTTTCGTGGCAAATCGCAAMAGGAATGGTTAGTAGCGTACCTTTAAGTAATATATACAATATGAGCGGGCGATCTGTATGTAATATACAACTCTCTTCATGGGCTATGATTTCTATTGTGTTTTGCCTTATGAATATTAATGAGTTTTATAATTGAAAAATATATTTTCCTGTGAAAATGCAAACTAGCGGCATTTTAGTGGTGGATTATAATGACTATTCAGTYTTACACTTACGGTTCACTAACCTCAAAATGGCGGACAACTAATTCTAAATGTAGAAGGAAGGTATGCTTCATTCGATCATCCCCTAAACAAGGAGAGATCGCTCATGATTCTGTGTAACGAATACTAGTGCTTCATCACCAATCTTTCGTGTTATTTGTTTCAGGAATACTTGGCATCCCAAGGGATCGTCCATCGTGATCTCGCTGCTCGCAATGTATTACTAACTAACGCCAACTTAGTTAAAATTGCTGATTTTGGTCTATCTCGTCAAATGACGTACAAAGCGCAAGCATACAAGGCGCAGGCACGACGCAAGCTGCCTATAAAATGGATGTCGCCSGAGGCTATATTTGAGCAGACGTTTACCACAAAGAGTGACATGTAAGTGCTGATAAGAATTCATTTGTGTGTTTTATCGATCGTCATTTTTATCTATTGAGTGCGGAAGACATAGCAACAGCACGAGGAACGCATCGGTCATACTTACATTTTGTGCACTAATTTCTTTCAGATGGTCGTACGGAGTTGTTCTTTGGGAAATCTATTCAATGGGTGGGTATGATTACCCTATTATCCCTCCATTAATCCTCTTTTTATTTGAACGATGGGTAATCTGAACTTAATGAATTCGGCCCGGGGGGTGACTCCCCTATATAAAAGGACGGGGGTCCTCGTCGGAAATTCTGAAAATTACTCCTTATTTCAATTAAAATTACTACTTATTTCAAGGGACGACGAGGACCCCCCGCGCCCTTTTCTATTAGGGAGTCCCCCCGGGGAATTCGGTTACGATCTCTGCAATTTGTTTTATAAGATTGATGGTGGTTTCGATAATTGACCGAACAGGTGTAGTTGTTATTTCAATTGTTATTCTACTCAACGCAAGTTGAAAAGATTTTGTACAAGTATTATAATAGCCTTACCCACTAACAACCCCTCCCCCCCCAAAAAAGAAACAACAACAACATTGCGCGTTGCGTTGTTGTGTCTTTTCACATTCCTCATCAGTCACTTTTCTGTTCTTCATACACCAAATCCTTGATAAACTAAGTTAAAATTACGTTTCTAGGTGGTGCTCCATACCCAACCATCACCAATGCGGCACTATTCCACTTCTTGAGAAAGGGTAATAGATTGGAAAAAACAGACCTCTGCTCCGATGAAATGTAAGTAGTAAGAATGAACATTATGCTACCAGTGAATCCAAGTATAATCAATCAGTTTTTACAAAAGATACATTTTTGGCCTGGTATCTAAATCAGACTAACAAATTACTGACCAGTAGTTGTAATAATGATGGTGCAGGCATTGCTGCAGGTTGTCCAGTAAAACGGCACACTTTTTACTGGTTTATGTGATTTGTTTTTACAATTGTTGACAAACGGGATCCGGAACTGTAATTGCATTATTGTAGAATGTCATATTACAATCAATATCACAATAATATACAAAGTTTATTAAATGAGATAACCCTCTTTATTCTGTTAAGGTACAAGCTCATGACCAAATGCTGGAATGAGCATGCGCAAGATCGCCCATCATTCAGTGACGTCATAGCTACACTTGAGACGTTGATGACTCGTGACAGCCCTCATGTTGAGTTCATGGGAATAGATGAGAGCAACCAATGTTACATGGTGCCGTCATTCAAAAGTGCTCCTGACAGCGAGGAGTCTGGAGACGAGCTGACGATGGTGTAGGAGTAAGGGTTGTCGTACGTATTCCATATATGGTATTAACTAACAAGCGTATAGCGGTCCCTAACAAGCGAATAGAAGCACCTTACAAGCGAATAGCGGTCCCTAAGGAATCCCAATTTACCGGTGCTATTAGCAATGCAAAATACTTTAAATGTCACAAACAATTCGTTGTTTGCCAGAGTAATCTCTCGTGGTCAAGTTAGTTAAGGCGCTTTACATTTGTAGTCGAAGGGTTAGGTTTAGGGAAAAGGGCGGGTCAGGCTATAAAATGTTAAATTCATAATTCTAAGTTAAAATTTGATAAGAAAATTTCTAATAAGTTA